CTAGATACAGCGATAACACGGTCGTTATGGCTGTATCTGGAGCAAGTTTCAGACTAGATACAGCTAACGAGCTTGCGTTCTATTTGGGTGAAGACAGCAGCAGACATCAGCTCCAGGAACAGGAAGTTCAAGATGTCCTCCCAGGAGGGCTGTAACGACAATACAATGCAACGAGGTCAGGGAATGCGCAGGATTGTCGGACCCTACTGGCGCCATGGGGGCCATGTAAATGACAACTTCCAAGGGAGTAGCCAGGTTATGGTTATGGTCTGTGGGGTGTAGGTAGTGGCAGTGTCTGCAAGGATGTCTCTTATCTTATGAAGACTAACCCGGGTCTTGCTAACGGGCCTATGCCAGACCCAGGGGGGTTGGTGGGGCCCGGCACCGTGTACCCGGTGCAAGCGGAATTTGTTTGTTTGTTTGTTTGTTTGTTTGTTTTCTAAATGTATGAGGCAAAGACTTTTGAATTACTTTCATCTGGGTCCATCTGGATTCGAGCTCCAGTCTTTATGTCAACAGCTCATGGGTGTGCCAACTGAGCTAGGCCCATCCGTAAGTGGCGTTTGTCTGTATGTCATGAGTTCATGGGTGCATGGCAGGCCCGTTCGGATGGAGAGAGGGCACCTGACTCCAGGCCACGAGCTCGAATGAGGGTGGAGCTCACCCCAAAAGAAAAGAAAAGAAAGAAGATCTCAGAGTGCTTTTCTTACTTCTCTTTGTAGTATTTGAGCTGAGGTCTGTCTATCAACAGTTGATGGGTGTGCCATTCAGCCACATGGGCTTGGCTGGCCGAGGAGGAGGGGGATGCGAGAGGAGGTGGCAGGGAACGAGGGGGGGAAGGAGGAGCAGGTGACGGGAGGGCAGGGGCAGCAGGAGGTGGTGGTGGAGGAGGAAAACGGGGAAGAGGAGCCGGTGTGCACCCTTGGCGGGCACCCGCTTGTTAATAATACTTAGCACAGCCCACTTGCAGATGAAATAATGTGTGATCGAGTGTCCTGCAGGCTAAGAGGCGAACGTTATGGCTCTTTGGATCTTGTCAGTCTTGATGGATCGCTGGCACTCCTCGGTGGGATTGGAACTGTGCTCAGGCCGGAAGAAAGAGACCGCTGTCAGAGCTGACGGATCGTATTCCAAGGAATGGCCCAGGGGTAACTTCGGCCTTCGTTTTGCAGAAAAGCATCAGAAAAGTGTCTGTTTGTTTTATGTCAGGTATGCAGATGGTTTTGTTCCATTGCTCACTGGGATGAAGAAGGCCGTAGAAGGCACGGAGTGCTTAGCCCAGACAAGACACAGCCACCTCTAGCTGAGCAAAACGAGCCTTGTTCCAAATGTCTGTGGTTCTCTTATCCGGCGATAGATCAGACACAAAGGGTCTTGCTCTTGTGAGCCCACCACCGTGCATACCAGGTCAGAAAAGAAAAATCCTCCAACTACACCTTTTTTTTGTCTAATGATTTTTATTTTTTTCAAAACCAGTTCAATTTATTGTCAGTGCAGCCTAGCCCAAGACAGCCACCTCTAGCAGAGCGAAATGAGTCTTTTTGCCAATATCTGTGATTCTCTTATCTGGTGATAGATCAGACGCAGAACGTCTTGCTCTTGGAAGCTCACCACTGTGCATACCAAGTCAGGATATCTTTTTTTGTTTTTTGTAAACAGAACCTTATGGTTCTGCCTCCTTTCCTTTCTGGGGAGCATCAGTCCGGTTCCTATTCCACAGGCAAGTCCGAAGCAATTACACACATACCCACACGCATACCCACACACACTCTCCCCATTACGGTTGAGAGGCCCGAGTGGATGGCATTGAGTACTTCCCGAGGGAAGGATGTAGCACCCCTCACCCCTGCCTAAGTTAGCCTGACTATCTATCCCTGTGCATCCCGACGTTGGTTGGCAGGCTGCAGCCCAAGGGGTCCCCCTTCCAGACGGTGGTCGTTCTTCGCTGCGCAGTGGTGGCTCCCCAAAAAACCCTGGGGGTTGGACTGTCTGGCGTATCCTACAGGAGGTCCGTGCGTGGCTGGATGGCCAGCCCGGAGCTCTCCTTGGGTTCTGCTGCCTCCTGGGCCCCATCTACCCCTAAACCCTAAACCCTGATCTGTCTACTCTGGGTCCGCCTGAGTTTTACTCAGGCCTGGGCAAGGGCCAAACGTGCAGCTGAGTCCTGGGATCTGCCAGTCCCTGATGACGCGGCTGCTGCCAGGTGAGTGTTTTGTTGGGGACCCCAGTTGACTCTCCAGACAAGCCTGGGAGTGTCGCCTTCTATGACGCCCAATTTCCCGCTCCCCAACACCTCCTTGGTCAACTTGTCAATGATGTCTTGTTTCTCAGTGAGGTCGTCTTCGATCTTCTTCCTCGCCCTGCTCCAGTCAGAAATGGTACTCTGTCTGCAAGGTTTGTTGAGGCCTTCCCACACTTCTGCCAGCGGCATGGATTGTCCTCCTATCGTCTGTTCTGCAGCGTGTCTTCCAGATTCCCCACAGTGTAAGGGGGCGGAGTCTTCGGTAGAGCATGCGTTGCCACTTCTCTTGCATCCCTGGTTCTCTGAGGCTGGTGAGCGTAGCGACTGGGCTGTCTGATAAAGGCGTTGCTGTGACGGAGTCCCAAAGGGTTGACGCTCTGATCCAGAGTTGGGCTGAGTTAGGGCAGGTTAAGAGATAGTGTTTGAGGTCCTCTGGGGTGCCCTCCTCGCAGATGGAGCAAATGTCGTTGAAGTCCCTATGAGTGGCGGCCGACCGGTGCCTACTGAGCCACAGGTTGACGGGAAGGGCGTGATAGTAGATAAGCCACTGCATGCTTCTGACATGGGTGTTCCGGATGGACAGAGGCATCTGCCAGGAGATTTTTGTCTGTCTCCCCAAGCCTCGGGTAGGTGTTTTTCCCAGCGCTGTGTCAGAGTTTGCTGTGTGTTAGTTGTCGACTTCCGTGTTGATCCAAAACGCTGATCTGGTGTTTGACCCTTGCTGTAGCGTAGTCATCTTCCATGTCCATTCTGTCGGGTGAAACTCCAAGTCCTGTATCTCCGACGTTGGGTTGTAGATCCTGTACTTGTCGTCCTCTACCACCCTGGCTTTCCTGAGGATACCCGGTTTTGCTGTAATCCGTGCCCGAACAGTCTTGGTGACCCTGCTAACTGTCTGGTGTGGCTTCTATATATCGCGTATGGTCCAGAGGGCCCACTCCCCGATGGGCCCTCCCTCTTGACATATGATAATGCTTCCGTGGGGCTGTCCTCCCAGCAACATGTTGCCCATTCTGCCGCCCTCCACACCGCCCAACGCTGCAGGATTGCGACCCAGTCCTGCGGAACTGATAGCAGAAGGGCGTTGCGGTTGGCTTGCAGGTTATGGCAGCCCTTTAGGGTTTCCTGAGTTCGACGTGCGTTTTCCATCGATTATGCTGCTGGTTCTATAGGTGTTTAATTTGCCACACCTCCTTGGGCTGACCAGGATTTGGACATTATCCAGAACAGCCCTTGTATACTGGGGGAGGTGGAAGCTCTTGGCAATTGTCTGATTTGGTGCAGTGCCAGGCAGGATACTCTAGCTACACTTTTTTCTTTTGTCTAATGATTGTTTTTCAAAAACCAGTTCCATTTATTATCAATACCTAAACAGAACACAGGCACCTCTAGCAGCGCAAGATGATTCTTTTTCCCAATATCTGTGATTCTCTTATCTGGTGATGGATCAGACACGTGTGTGCGAGCACATATTGCGGATGCCTCTGCACGGTAAAGACCACGCACCATACCATTGCAACACTTCAGGAGGAGAATACACATCTGAGTGGAGTCAGGGAGAAGACAACAACGAAACACAAACGCAACAAGCAGTAAGGCAACACATAGGCTGGAGGGGGAGGGCAGACGACACAAAAGTAGCAAACATAACAGGCAACAACAAAGAGGCAGCCTTAAGGTAGAACAACAGACGACACCAAAACACACAAAACACACAAAACACACAAAACCAGCAAAAAGTTTCGACAACCGCAAAAAAAAAAAACTGATGATAGATTGTTTCGTCGGGGTTGCACCGACTCATCAGGAGGCTGGACCCCTAAAATCTGCGGAATTGCCGAAGTGATGGTCTGGGTCATGCACCCTTTGACCCTTGTTGAAGGCAGACTGTCCCCAAACAGAACACAGCAGCGGTCAGCAACCCATCAGAGCACCAGGCAACGTGGCAGGAGCAACACAGCTGCTCAATGCCAAAGACGAAGTGGATGCACAGCACAGGAACCATGCCATGAAGCACAAAGGAAACACCAACAAGGCAACCACACTGCAAGGTGGGACAGGGCGAGCGGACGAGCAGCACAGCAACCATGCAGTGAAGCACAAGGCAACACCAACAAGGCAACCGAACTACAAGGTGCGCAAGCAAAGAACACGGAAGGCATGGTCTGTGAATGGGCGACAAGGCAGTGGAGCAGTGAAGCTCAAGGCATCACCAAGCACGGCCACACCACAAAGTGAACATAGTAGCTTGCTAAGAATGACCTGCGAAGCAAGTGGGACAGGCAGCAAGGCAGCAAGGCAGCGGCGGAGCGCAGATGAGGCAGTCCAGACAAGCGGCGCATGACCTACTCACATCACGGGTGAACCCTGCAGACTGTTGGTTTCCACCTCCCACTGAGCGAGGGACTCACTCCGACAGACATCCATGGTCACCCATAGGGCAGACAGACATCCCGAACTGAGTGGCGCCCCCTAGGAGTGCTGTAGGTAGTTCAAACAAGGAATGACGGACTGAGGCCCCAAAAGGGACCCAAAGTCTTGAAACCATGGGATTTTTTGTTGAAAGAAAGAAAGCCCCTTCTATTCTGGGGTCAGCAGTCCGGTTGCTCATCACCGGCAAGCACAACGGGGAAGGGGGGTGATTGATCGACTCTGTGTGTGTGTGTGTGTGTGTATGTGTGTGTGTGTGTGTGTGTGTGTGTGT